GGAGAAATAAGATACTTCCATAAGAAAGAACACTTGAGAAACTTCATGAATACTAAACCAGCACTACAAAGAATTTTAAACAATATCCTAGAAAAAGACAACAAAGATCACAACACCAGGAGGCCCAACAGAGCAAATAAAATAGCCAAGGCAAAAAAATAAAAGGAGAGGACAAAAATAAAAAGAGTCAACAAAAGGACAATAACATGACAATAATAAGTCAGTACATATCAGTTATAACTATCAATGTCAGTGGCCTCAATTCACCAATCAAGAGAAATAGATTGGCAGAATGGATTGAGAAGCAAAATCCAACAATATGTTGTTTACAAAAAACACACCTAGTGCTAAAAGAAGCCCATAGCCTGAAAGTGAAAGGATGGAAAACAATTCTCCACGCTACAAGAGCCCAGAAAAAAGCAGGGGTAGCAGTCTTATTCACAGACAAAGCAAACTTCAAACAAAAACTGATTAAGAGAGAGGAAGAAGGCCACTACATCCTTGTAAAGGGAACAATCCAAGAGGAAGAAATGTCAATCATAAACATATATGCACCAAATATAAATGCCCCCAAATATATAAAACAAATATTAAGTAACATGAAAAACCAAATAACCACTAATACAATTGTAGTCGGGGATCTGAGTGCCCCACTATCACAAATTGTCAGATCATCTAGGCAAAAAATCAACAATGAAATACTAGAACTGAACCAAACTTTTGAACAAAAGGACTTAATAGACATCTGTAGAGTGTTCCACCCTAAAAAATCAGAATATACATTCTTTTCAGCTGCACATGGGTCATTCTCCAAGATAGATCACATACTAGCTCACAAAACAGGTTTGAATAAATGGAAAAGAATTGAAGTTTTTCCCTGTATATTATCAGATCACAGTGCAATAAAGCTGGAGATCAATAGCATAAGAAACCATAGGAATTTCACAAACACATGGAAATTGAACAACACTCTCCTGAACAATCAATGGATCACAGAGGAAATTAAAGAAGAAATCAGACAGTTTTTACAAATAAATGAAAATGCCAAAAAAACAGACAGGAATCTATGCGACACAATGAAAGCAGTTCTACTTGGAAAATTCATAGCACTGAATGCCCACATTAGGAAAACAGAGCAAACTCAAATAAACAACCTAACAATGACTCTAAGACTCCTAGAAAAACAAGAGGAAGAAAAACACAAAGCTTGAACAAGAGAGGAAATTATAAAGATTAGAGCAGAAATCAATGCAATGGAAACTAAGAAAATGATACAAAAAATAAATGAATCAAGTTGGTTTTTTGAAAGAATAAATAAAATTGATAAACGCTTAGCAAACCTTATCAAAAAAAGGAAAGAAAGGCTCAGATTCATGCAATCAGGAATGAAAAAGGCGAAGTCACAACAGATCCGACAGAAATCCAGAGGATCATAATACATACTATGAGAACCTGTACTGTAATAAAATGTAAAACACAGAAGAAATGGACAGACTTCTAGATACTTATGAATTACCAAAGTTGAACAAAGAAGGTAAAAACATTTTAAACACCCCAACCACAATCAGTAAAATTAAAAATGTAATTAAAAACTTACCAACAAAGAAAAGCCCAGGTCCTGATGGATTCACTGCTGAATTTTACAAGACATTTAGAGAAGATCTGCCATTACTCTTCAGACTTTTCAATGAAATTGAAAGAGAAGCAATACTTCCAAATTCATTCCTGAAAACAAATATCGCTTTGATTCCCAAAACTGGGAAAGATGTAACTAAAAAAGAGAACTACAGACCAATCTACTTAATGAATATAGATGCAAAAATCCTCAATAAGATACTAGCAAACAGAATACAGAGGATCATCAAGAAGATCATACATACTGATCAAGTCAGATTTATTCCAGGGATGCAAAAATTGTTCAACATACGTAAATCAATAAATATAATACACTATATTAACAAAGTGAAGGACAAGAACCATATGATCCTCTCAATAGATGCAGAAAAAGAATTTGACAAAATTCAACACCTATTCATGATAAAAACTCTGCAAAAAATTGGAATAGATGGTCTCTATCTCAACTTAATGAAGGCTATCTACGAAAATGCAACAGCCAACATCATACTAAATGGCCAAAAACTGAAAACCTTCATGTGAAAATCAGAAACAAGACAAGGATGTCCACTATCACCACTCCTCTTCAATATAGTTCTGGAAATATTAGCCATAGCAATTAGACAAGAGAAAGAAATTAAAGCAATACAGATAGGAAAGGAAGAAGTTAAACTGTCATTATTTGCTGGTGATATGATACTGTACATTGAAGATCCAAAAAACTCCACCAAAAGACTTCTTGACTTAATTGACACTTTTAGCAGAGTAGCTGGATACAAGGTCAACACCCAAAAATCAATAGCCTTCTTGTACACAAATAACAGACTTACTGAGAAAGAAATTAGGGAAACAACTCCTTTCACAATAGCACCCAAAAAAATGAAGTATCTGGGAATCAATCTAACAAAAGAAGCAAAAGACCTCTACACTGAAAACTACAGCACTCTGAAAAAAGTGATCAAGGGGGATATAAGAAAATGGAAAGATCTCCCCTGCTCCTGTGTAGGAAGAATCAACATAGTGAATATTGTCATACTATGAAAACTGCTATACAGATTCAATTCAATACCAATTGAAATCCCAACACTATACTTCACAGAACTAGAAAGAAGAATCCAAAAATTCATTTGGAACCATAAGAGACCTAGAATAGCGAAAGCCATCCTAGGCAACAGACACATAGCAGCGGGTATAACAATTTCCAATTTGAAACTATACTACAAAACCACTCTGACAGATTGAAAGAAACAAAAACAACTCCAGATGCACTCAGCTACCTCATCTTTGACAAAGGAGATGACAGTCCCCACTGGAGGAAAGGTATACTTTTTAATAAATGGTGTTGGAAAAACTGGATCTCAACCTGCCAAACACTAAAACTAGACCCTTATCTCTCACCATGCACTAAATTAAAATCCAAGTGGATTAAATATTTAAATATAAAAGCAAAAACACTAGACTTGCTGGAACATAAGTTAGGCAGAACTCTGGAAGACATTGGTATAGGAAAAGACTTTATGAACAAATCCTCAGTAGCATGGGAACTAGCAGAAAGAATCAACAACTGGGATCTCATCTTATTAAAAAGCTTCTGCACTGCAAAAGAAACCATCAACAGAACTAAGAGACAACCTAAAATGTGGGAAAAACTTTCTACCAGCTGCTCCTCAGACAAAGGACTATTATCTAAAATATATAAAGAACTCAAAACAACCAGCCCCCCAAATATAAAGACCCATTTCTAAAATGGGCATCTGAAATGAACAGACTTTTCTCAGACAAAGAAATAAAAGCAGCAAGTAAATATATGAAAAAATGTTCCACATCACTGGTCATTCGAGAGATGCAGATGAAAATAACACTGAGATTCCACCTCACCCCACAAAGAATGGCTGCTATCAAGAAATCACACAACAACAAATATTGGCAGGGTTGTGGGGAGAAAGGAACCCTTCTCCATTGTTGGTGGGAGTGCAGACTGGTGCAACCACTGTGGAAGTCAATATGCAGATACCTCAAAGAACTAGGATTAGAGGTTCCATTTGAGCCAGCCATCCCTCTGTTGGATATCTTTCCAAAAGAATTAAAAGAATCATACCACAGTGATATATGCACACCCATGTTTATAGTGGCACAGTTTGTAATAGCTAAAACTTGGAAACAGCCCATCTGCCCATCAGTTGGAAACTGGATAAAGAAGATGTGGTTTTTCTATAAAATGGAATACTACTCAGCCATAAAGAATAAGAAAGTACATTCATTCATAGGTAAATGGGTACATTTTGAGGATATACTCCTAAGTGAAATAAATAAGGCGCACATATGCAAAAACCGAATAGTTTCTCTTATGTGAAAAACTAAAATAGTAATCAAGATCCTAACGGGACAATTAGCAACGTGAAATAAGAAGAAAAGGACCAAAGGTGTAGGGACAGTGTGAAGGATAGGGAAAGGGGAATAAGGGAAAAGGAAAAAAATATGAGAAAATGGAAAAATTGGAATAAAGTGTTTGAAGGTGGGGAGGGGAGGTGGGGGTAAAGGGAAGGTGGGGAAAGTGGAAATAATGAGAACCAAGACCTGGCGTGTAAAGGTACAAGATCAGTAATGTGTATGGAAGTAAGAGCTA